GGAAAACCGCACGAGTCCCCAAACCGGGTGGTGACACCAAATCGCCCGAGACTCACCGCCAGGTGTTGTCACCACCACGTTTGGGGACTACCAAGCCACTCCCTGCGCGTATTTTCGAGAGTGGGGGCGCCCCGATCGCTGACGGCTGCAGCAGTTGTTCTGCCTCGCCGCCGACGAAGAAAAGGATTCGAGAATGGGTCCAGACCTCTGGGGTCGCGCCCCCGAGAGGGCCCTGAGGGCCCCTGGGGGCCTCGAGGGCCCCCCCCTCTCTTCCCGCCTCCCTCTCCTCCCTCCTCGCCCGCACCGCCAGTGTGTTCGCCGTGTGTGTGTGTGTGTGTGTGTGTGTGCGTGTGTGCGTGTGGGCGCCGACTTGCAGGGTCCTAACGGGCCCTCCTTTCTCTTCTCGTTCCCTTTTCTCTCTCGCTCCCGTGCCTCAATTCGCCTCAGGTGCACCCCACCGCGTGCTGACCGGCGCCTGACCGTCCTGGACCACCTGGCGCCCACGGACTTACAAAAAGTGCGAGTGTGTACAGTACAGACTCTGATCCCTATCCGCACTTCTACCGCTGCCCCTTCTGGTTCGCAAGGTGTTGACGTTGCTGACGTCAGTGCTCTCTCATTCCGAGGGGAGAGATATCTATCGGCTCCATCTTGCGGATTACTGGCAGTGTTGGCTCTCTGATTACTCCATGCCATTCACAAGCCGTGAGGGAGGGGAGATGGGTCTTGGAGGATCGGTGTCCGGGCGCTTTCCGCCGCTTTTTCAGGCTCCTAGGGTTAAGTCGGGCACGTCTTTCTACAGGAGGAATATTCAAAAATAATCCGAAAATGGTATGGGGATATATAAATTTCGTCCAAAGCCCGCCTGTAGGAGGATATGCCCGACCTAACCCTGGGGCCCTTCCTGGGCCCCAGGGCCGTCGAAAAACGACTCGGGATGACAATCTGGTCTCGGAGAGATCTCGGGCGGCCGGGGCCCGTGTCCAACAGGCCCAGCTGCCTTCCTGCCAGTGACTGCAGCCGCGTGCGACGCTGCAGATCGTCAGCGGTGCTGTTTCTGGGATGTGTGTGGCTCTATTTGCCCCATCTTGCTGCACCCTCGAGAAAGGTTGTCTCTGCGCCAGCATCGTCCAAGCGCCTCCTTGGAGGAGCCCCGCTGCAGTTCCCCCCCACTCCTCCGCCTTCCTCCTCCGCCTCATCATCCTGCCCGTCGGGCTGCTGCTGCTGCTCCTCTTTTTCCCCCCCCTCCTCCTCCTCCTCCTCCTCCTCCTCCTCCTCCTTCCAGTGCCCCTCGGTCGAGCGGGGTGCGGGGCGGTCTCAGCGTGGGGAGTAGCCTGGCTCATTCTGCTGCTCATCCTGGCCAGGGGTGCCCGGGTACACTGCCTGCCTGCCTGCCTGCCTGCCTCCTTCCGTGGGCCAGCCCACGCGAGGAGGGCCGCACGGCAAGCTGCGAGCACGGCGGGGTGCTCTTCGTTTCGAGGGGCCGCGGTCGGAACAAGTGACGAACGAACACACCGATACCCATATGGGGGTCGGAGGGAGGAGACTTGGCTGTGGGTGTGGGGGCGGGTTGTCGGGCCCTGGGGGAGGCTCTCGTTCGAGCGGGGACCCCCACCCGACAACGCGCACCCATAGGCCCCTTGGTTCCCCCTCTGGGTGTGTGCGCGCCTTGTTGGTTTGTCGGTTTGTCACCAAGAGATGCGTTCGTTGTTCCAGCTCGTGGGTTGTGAACCATCCGAGCATAGGCGCGCAGGCCGCTGTCATGCCCGAGTACGCGTCTGCCGCCGCCGCCGTGGGGACTGGGCAGGTCCGGCACGAACAGAGTAGTAAGCACAGAGGACCCCCAACGGACTTGAGCCTGGACCGCTCGGGGGAGGGTGGCGGTGTGCCAGGGCTCCTCTCACCGCCCACCAAACATTTCCAACCCGACCCGAAGGCCCCGATTTGCCCGTCATTTCCAGTTGTGGGGGGGGTGGTCGGGGAACGTTGAACAAAACACATATGAGAAGCCCGTACCCCCAATTCGAAATTGGGGTCTTCGAGTTACGTTGGGGTGGTCTGGTAGGCAGTCAGAAGGGTGGCGGTGTGCCAGGGCTCCTCCACCGGAGCCGGCCATATCCATCCTGGGCCCTGGACTGCTGTGCAGCTCTTTTCGGCTTGTCTTCAGCGGCTCCGAGCGGCTGTCCGCCCATCCCTGGCCCAGGGGTGGGGCTGGTGTGGTCCACGTGCCGTTGCATTGTAGCTGGCGCGAGGTTTCGGACAATTAGCAGCACTCGAAGGATGCCCGTGTGTTCTTCGGGCTCGGGCTCTCCACCTGGCAGTGTTCTGTGGCCATGCTCTGGCGGTACGGTCGCGGTCCTCCTGCCGCCTTCCCAGGGGACCGACTCGGCTCGAGGCCGGCCACGTCGAATCTACGACGTTGCTGCGATTGCCGATGCTGCGATTGCCGAGTTGTCCCCGGTTTCAGAATAACCCCAGGAAGCATTTAAGAACCCCCCCCCTCCAGCAAATCGATAACCCTTCCGCACCCTGGAAGCGTTACCTGGCACCAGGAGCCCTCCTATGTGTCCGTGTGCTAAAGCTATCGTTAGGTTATTTCGGCCCCTCGGAATATCGAATAAAAAATGCGGTGCTACGATATCGCCGGGGGGTTTCTTAAATGCTTCCTGGGGTTACCCGAGGGGATTCCGAGTTCGATTCTGCCTCCCGATCCGACGCTGGCCCTTGCTGCCCTCGTCGTCCCGCCACGAAGAGGATGGGGTCCAGCGTTTCTTCGCCGTTCTCGGCCTCCCAGGTCCCTTCCTGGGCCTAGGGTCACCACCCACCAAGCCACCCCAACCCAACCCGAAGTCGTCAATTTGCCCTCCATTTCCAGTGGTTGGGGGGTCGGGGAACATTGAAAAAACGCGTATGAGAAGCCCGTACCCCCCCCCACCCGAAACTCGGGTCAAATTCGGGTCTTCGGGTTGGGTTGGGGTGGTTTGGTAGGTAGTCATCGGGGCCCGGATTAGTAGGTCGACCCTGCCAAATGAAGGGTACCTCTGTGTCCTGTGTCTCGCGACCCATGCCTCCTGCATTCCTATGGCAAGGTGGCCCTCGGAAGGGTCTTGTGTCCTCTCGCGTGTCCTGTCCAATCAAGGCCGACTGTAGTCATCGGGGCCCCTCATACACGGCTCGGGATGGAGAGCTGGCCGCGGGGAAGGCTACGTGGCATTTCCGGGAAGCAGCAGCAGCACCCGTGGCGCGTCGCCGCGGGGAGCCCAGCGGCGTGTTGCTGCGGAAGGGGCGCCCGGCCTTTGGACAAACGCACGCGGGAGCATCGCGGTGACGGGCTGCCAAGGGCAGCGTGTCATCGCTGCTCCTCCTCCCTCCCGATATCCAGGACCCATTTCCCTCGGGTCCCTTTCCAGGGCATCGTTTCGATTCCTCCGATGCGATTCGACTCGACTTCGATGGCTTCCGATCCCGATTCGACTCGACTAAGGATTCCGATTTGGGCTCCGATTTCCGCCGAGTCGACCTCTCCCGACTCGGCTGCAGAATCCCGCCGATCCGATTCATTTCGATCGCCGACCCGACTTCTTGATTCGATCCTGGGCTCTCCTGCCTTTCCCGTCTTGCCAAGCGTCGTCGTCCTTCTCCTCCTCCAGCGGACGGCCCGTGCGAGGGAAGAAGCACCCGCCCCTCGTGGACGAGCCTCCCGCGGACGGCCCGTGCGAGAGCGCGGGCAAGAAGCCCACCAAGACGGCCGCGGAGGAGACACCAGAGGGAAAGGAGCCCCCGGGGGGGAGGAGGATGAGGATGAGGCGCAGGATGACGATGATGACGATGATGATGCTGATGATGAGGATGATGATGATGATGATGATGATGATGACGACGATGATGATGATGAGCATGATGATGATGATGATGATGATGATGATGATGATGATGATGATGATGATGATGATGATGATGATGACGATGATGATGATGAGCATGATGATGATTATGATGATGATGAGGATGATGGTGTTGATGATGATGACGATGATGATGACGATGATGATGCTGATGATGATGATGATGATGATGAGGATGATGATGATGATGATGATGATGAGGAGGAGAAGGAGGAGGAGGAGGAAGAGGAGGAGGAGGAGGAGGAGGAGGAGGAGAAGGACCAGTGTAAACTCAAGATTCACCAACGATGTTGGAATAAGCCCTCCCCCCAAGCTCTCTCTTCATACGCCCCTACAACGGTTCATTTCCACAGAGGGACCTGCCTCGTTCAAAGACATCCATTTGAAGACCTTGAAGCATGCCAAAACATTGTTCCCGGTATCCAACGCCACGGATAAACCTGATTGGTGCGTCTTGATGAGCCTGCATCGTGCCAGAATGCCATCCCTGGGTCTTCAACACCGCGAATCATCCTAACTGTTGCTTTCCTATTATCGTGAATCCTTCCAAAACACCATTTCTGGTACGTCGACCATGGGAATCCGTGAAATTGTTTAACAAGAGTGTGCACGGCGCTGAGGCCAGAGCCACATTTGGAAAAGGAGCCGCCTTCAGTCCGTGAAGCTCCTGCAGCTTTTTAAAACGAATGTGCGCTGCGCTAAAGCGAGAGTCACATTTTGAGAACGACCCGCCCTCAATCCGTGAAGCTCCTGCAATTTTGAAAACGAATGTGCGCGGCGCGAAGGCGAGAGCCACATTTCGGGAACGACCCGCCCTCAATCCGTGAAGTTCTTGCGTATATCTAAACCGAATGTGCGCGACGCGAAGGCGAGAGCCACATTTTGAGAACCACCCGCCTTCAATCCGTAAAACTCTTGCAATTTTTAAAACGGATGTGCGCGGCACTAAGGCGAGAGCCACATTTGGAAAAGGAGCCGCCCTCAGTCCATGAAACTCCTGCAATTTGTTTAAACGAATGTGCGCCGCGCTAGGGCGAGAGCCACATTTTGAAAACCACCCGCGTTCCATCTGTGAAGCTGTTGCCAATTTTAAGGTTCAGGGTCCTAAATGGTGAGGAAGTCTCAGGCAAAGCGCCCAGCCCGTCCTAAAAACTTGCTTCGGGGTGCGACAGGGGGAATTTATTTATTCGGAGAAGGAATGGATGAGGAGGAGGAGGAGGATGATGCTGAGGAGGAGCAGGATGATGATGATAATGACGATGATGCTGCTGCTGATGATGATGCTAATGATACTGTTGATGAGGATGCTTATGATGACTGATGATGATGACGGTGATGATGCTGATGATGCTGATGATGATTATGATGTTGCTGCTACTGATGGTGCTGTTGAAGATGCTGATAGTGCTGCTGCTGATGATGATGATCATGATGCTGCTGATGCTGCTGCTGCTTCTGCTGCTGCCGATGATGATGGTAACGATCGTGATGCTGCTGCTGATGATGAGCAGGATGATGAGGACGAGGCGGAGGATGTTGATGGAAGATAGTAATGCTGATGCTGATGTTAATGATGAAGCTGTTGATGCTGCTGCTGATGATGAGGTGGTTTATGATTGTTCCCAATATCCTAAGGATAGTGTTCTTGTTATTACTCCGGCCGCGTCGAGCACGACGATACCCTTCTCTTCTTTCTTTTGGTGATGATGATGGTGATGGTGATGGTGGTGCTTGTGGTGATAATGATGATGATAAAGATGTTGACTCACACGCTCGACGATCATGACGAGGATGACGATCATGATGAGGATCTTGGTGATGTTAGTAATAAGGATTATGAGGATGCTGATGATGATGATGATGATGATGATGATGATGGTGATGGTACTGATTACACTGATGATAATGATGATGACATGCTGATGATGATGAGGATGATGCTGATCATTCTTAGGATGATGATGATGATGATGCTGATCATGATACTTATGATGCTTATGAGGTTGATGCTGGTGCTGATGATGAGGCTGATGCTGATGATGCTGTTGATGCTGATGCTGATGCTGATAATTCTGACGATGATATGATGATGAAGATGATGACGATGATGAGGATGATGATGCTGATGATGATGATGATGATGATGATGATGATGATGATGATGATGGTGCCGCCCCAACATCCTATGTTCTGGGAGCAAGTTTCGAGGATGTCTCGGGCGAGGCTCTGTTTTTTGCATCCCCAAGGGCGGAGCGCCAGGTGGGTACCTCACGGGCCCGTTTGCGCCCAGACTGCGGGGAAGTCTCGAGCGGTTTGCCTGTCGGTGTGCCCAACATCCTCTTCTTCCGGAAGAGATGTCGAGGATGTCTCGGGCGAGGCGCTGGCTTGGCATCCCCAATTGGTGGCGCCAGTGGGGTATCTCACGGGCCCGCTCGCGCCCAGTTTGCGGGGATTTTTTGAGCGGTTTGCTTGTTCGCGTGCGTGCCCAACGTCCTCTGCTTTAGGAACAGATCTTGAGGATGTCTCGGGCGAGGCGCTGGTACTGGCCCCCCCAAGGGGGGGGGGGCGCCAGTGGGGTATCTCACGGGCCCGTTCGCGCCCAGACTGCGGGGATTTCTCGGCGGGTTTGCCTGCTTGCGCCCGCAACGTCTTCCGCTTTCGGAGCAGATTTTGAGAGGACGCCTCGGGCGAGGCGCTGGTTTTCGCACCCCAGGGGGCCAGGACTGCGAGGATCTCTTTGGTGGTTTGCTTATTTTGGTAGCCAAACTCGTCTGCGGTTAGAGCAGATTCCGAGGATGTCCCGGGTGAGGCGCTGGTTTCAGCGCCGCCAGGGGCTCAGATTGAGCGGATGTCTCGAGAGGTTTGCGTGTTGTGCATTTCCACCATCCTTTGTCTTCGGAGCGGATTTTGAGGATGTCTCGGGCGAGGCGCTGGTGTTTGCAGCCCAGGAGGGCCAAGTTGTGAGGATGTTTTGGGCGGCTTGGTTGTTTTGGTGGCCAGACTCGTCTGCGTTCAGGTCGAATCACTCATATTTGACGTCTGTCCATATAGATTGCCCCGCCCCTGTGGCTGCAATCCTGAGTGTTTTACGTGTTCTCCTATCTATTGGGCCTCTTCTGGGGCACGAATCCTTGATGCTTATTTTCCTACACATATATGTATATTTTGCCCCTCTCCTGTGGCTGCAATCCTAGGTGCTTTACGTATGCTCATATACATTGGGCTTCCCCTGTGGCACGAATCCCCCCGTAGCCGTTTTGGCTGAAGATGATTTCTGGTCCTCGGTCTCCAAGCAGAGGCCGCTGGTCCGCGGACAGACCCACCGACGGCGCGTCTCGCGCGGGCAGTCTCGGTTCTCTCGATTTTGGTGGCGCTTGCAGTGTCTTCGTCTCGGCCATGGCGAGTCACTGGCAGTGTTGATGTGGTGAGTTCCTTCCTGCAGCCCGTATGCGGTGTGGTAAGCCAGGATGGGGTGGAGTTCGGCCTCGCGTCCTTCGCGGTGGAGCAGTTCCTTGGCAAGACCGTCGGCGTCCAGTTCGCGGCAAGTGGGCCAACGCACCGCCACGCTAGCAATGGGGGCAGAACGGTAAGACCTTCTATGGCGGCAGGTTTTCTAACGGATGGGACCCGAAGGCTGGCAAGCAGGGCTCGGGCAGTACCCTCTCGGTGGAAAAGGTCAAAGTCAGGGCCACGTTCGAGCACGAGACCTGGGAGGCCGCTAAACTCACGCTTAGCCAGTCTAGCCGCAGCAAGGTTGAGGCAGCTCGTCGCGCTGCTGCTCTCGGTTTGGTGGGCAAGTCAGCCCCGCAGCATGTGGACAACTTGGGTCGGCAGCTTGCGCATGCTAAAGAGCAGCGTCAGCGCGACCAAGAGGCTGCTCTCAAGCCTTTGGGGAAGGTGCACGGCTCGCAGGCGGAGGTCGCGAAACTCGAGGCGGAGCTCGCGGAGGCCAAGCGTGAGGCGGCAGCTCTTCTTCGGCGGCGGCATCAACCCAGACACAATCAAGCAGAAGTTCGGCACCATCAACACTGACGGTGTCTCGGGCGCAGACCTCCTCGCGCAGCTCTCGGCCATGGTCAGCGAGCTCGCCGAGGAAGCGCGTACGGCGCCAGCGGCCCCCGCTGCGGCAGCGCCGGCGGGAGGCCCAGAGGGTGGCGCAGCGCCAGCAGCAGCCCCAGGCGGCGCCCCTGCGGGCGGCGGAGGTGAGCAGCCGCGTGCAGCACCGAACGTCGGAGCGGAGGCCCCTCCAGGCGAGGCTTCCGACGCGTTCATGGCTAATGATGGCCCTGGCGGTGCCCTCCATCGGCTGCAGTGACGGCGAGGAGCGCAAGCGCGTCAGGGGCGCCTGGAGGTGCTGCGATCCGTCGCGAAGCCACGCCAGGGGTAGCAGGGCAGCTCGGCGCTGGTGGACGGCTCTCACCATCAACGCCAATGCGTATAGCAGGTTTGAGGGCCTTCTCGGCTACCACTCGGTGATGCGCTGCGACCTGATCGCGGTGCAGGAGACCCACCCCTCGGCAGAGCGCAGCGAAGAGGTGACGGACAAACTGGCACGGCTTGGGTGGCACGCGATAGCTGCACCAGCCGTCGGAGTCTCGATCGGCCATGCTGGCCACCGAGGACCCCTGGAGCTCGCGCCCAGGCCCGGCGGCCTCGGCACCTTCGAAGCAGGACAGACAGCGGTGATCTCTGGACGCGCGGCAGTCGCGTATGTGGCAGGCCCCTTTCCTGGCGGGCTCGCCTGGTTCAACGTCTCTCTCAAGGTCGGCGAGGGGCCCTCGGCCTTCAACCTTGGGATCATCGACGGCATCGCGGAAGCTATTCGCGGGATCAGCGAGCCTTGTGTGATCGCGGGCGACATCAACATGG